TTGTGGGACCTAGTCAATTATCTCCCCCATTTCAGTTTTTGGAAAATCAATATCGATTGCAATATTTTGAATACTCTAAATCAACTTTCAGACCAAAATTTCAAATGCAATTTTTTTATGTGTCATTGAAATATGGGGTGAACTGAAAAAAAAAACACATGAAAATGAAAACTTAAGAGGTTGTTGGCAACTCTGCAATGAAAACTTTACAGAAGTAGTTTCAACGCCGGTCCATTTGTAGCAGAGTTTTAAACAATTTACAGAAGTCAAAGTTTTTAGGTGCAAACTTTCAGTTTAATTTTAAGGCCTCAAATTGGACTCACTAAGGACCAATTTCAGCCAACGAGGCCTGCACCCAAGGAATCCTATCCCTCTGGCTGTAGAACAGTGAAGGCCTTCTTCATCAGTTGACCAAAGAAGTTGCAAACCTAATCCAGTGCAAATATTCCTGGGCCTGGCAACCCTAGACCATTCACTCCTTAGGGGGGCCCTTCCTTGAAAGGCTCTAACAGAAAATTTTTTTTAACGACTTGTTCTATAGCTCCGCTTCTCGAGCAAGCTCTGCAGTCTCCGGCCCACTTAGACTACAATTTCGATTTGCTGGAGATGGACCGTGATGTTAAGTGTTCCTCTCTGGACAACCCCAACCGAGGGTGGAAAACAGGTAACTTCGACCTCGGTACCTCGACAAAAACACGTACCTACTCAACTATTCAAAAAGGCATCTTCTATCGCTTCTGTTTCGGCTTTACTGACAACAAGCAGATGAAAAAAACTGGCAGTTTTTCTCACGTTCAAATGTCAACAAGCTTTTTTTCAAAATTTTTGCTCGCCTTTGAAACTACCTCGAACATTAACAGAAGAGTTCTCATCGCAAGAAGGCCTGTTTAAAACTTTGGTTCGGACTTCAGTGCGAACCTCGCTGAAAATTGCTATTGGACGTTCTCATTGCACTGATGAGCATAAGGCATAAACTAATTGCTATAAAAGCAACGGTATTACTCTTTAAGTCCATGCTCTTGACTTTCCCAAAGTCGTTGAAAAACACATTGAGAACATGTGTCTTCCTTTTCAGCAACGCAGAATGGTGAAGGCACTGGTTGCAGTCAAAGGAACGGTGCTGATGCTTTAAGATTGGCTACGTTCAACGTCCAATTTGAAAGTCATAGAGATGGGTCTCCTATAGCTACATAAGCCTACGATCACTTCCGTCATATAGTCTACTTTCATTTCTTCGACTTCGTACTGTTAGACCTGCAGGAAAAACTCTAGTTGGTTGCTGCCTCTCGCTCGAAAATAATCTACAAACTCATTCTTAGCTGAAATGCAGACAGTGATGCAGCTGAGATAGTTTTGACGACTTGGTCGATATGTACCAGAACGTACTATTGGATCGCGTTTCCTGTCGCAATTTTAAAGCGAGTTTGCTGTCTGAAGGAATATATAGCGCTTCCATCCTTACACTACATAACAGCAGCTTTCATTCATGCCCCAGAATTCTGTCACAAATCCCTAATTCCTTAATTCCACTCGGGCACGCACTGCACTAATCCAAGTCGAAGCGACCCTTCCAGCATTCGTTTGCTCTGACGAACGCTCCTTCTCTAGAATTATTCTGCTGAAAAATTACCTTCGATCTATAATGAACAAAGATAAATTATTTAGTTTTACAATTTAAAACTGACTTGAGTAAATATCTACAAAGATGTGAAATTAAATGTTTATAATATATCATGGACAGATTAGCCATCAAAATTGCAGGCAATTTTTGCATAATTTCGTTTGATTTTTGAAGATTTTTTCCAAAATATTATTGACTTTCAAACAAGTTTTTCAAAATTCCGCCTTACCTTTGCAAAAATCTAGATGCGCGCCTGAGCCCTGTAACTGAGCTCATAAATGGTTTCAGAATATTTGCAAAATAACTCACTGGACAATTATGGTTGTTCAACATTGATCACAAAACATAATTTTCCTCAAGAGATTTTTGGTAAAAAATTGATATCGTCCTCCAGCGGCCAAAAAAATATATTTTAGCTGCAAAGTTGTTATATGACTTTTTTGCAGCCTGAGCAACCTCCTTCTTAAACTTTCGAATGTTTTAATCTGAATTTTAAACTTTGCTCATTTTGATAGAATTTCTTTTTTCAATTAAAAAGCATAATTGTTGTTAAAAACATTTTTATTCAAGAACACTGATAAAAATAATGTTTACTTGAGTTGCGCTGATTGAAGCACTTCTGCTGAAATTTAGGATATATCTTCAAAACAAAACTTTGGGTATTGCAATTATTCGCAGCACGCGACGACTCGTAACAGGCGACAAATGGAAGCAATAAAACCTTTGGTCAGATCAAGAAAAAAATAGATAAAAGTATTAAAAAGAACAACGAACTAGAAATCGAAGTTGATTGAGGCCCTTAAACTGCTTGAGAATATTTTTGTTACCATAATGTTTAAGGATTTCAACTAATCTAGCTTGACTTTTTTTTCGTGATTTGCAACCTTGGTGGAATTTTCTCCGGCTATAATTCTTGACAATTTGTTCTCCGACAGATTTTGTTCATTTCTCAGGAACTGTATAAACTTGTGAATGGTCAGGTGAGCACACCCCATCCCCATCTGGAAGGCTCTATGCCATCCCTCCACCGAACTATTGGTTTTCTGTTTTCATTTTTTGCCTCTTCGAACTGGTTCTAAGTGAAAGAGGGATTTGCCCAACCCTCTGCGTACTGGAAGGAGAGTTCTGACCCAAGTTGATTCATAATAATCGACGTAATCAAATAAAGGGAACTCGTCACTTTGGTCAGAAGTTTTCAGAGCACAAAACAGTCATCCCGATTTCCAAGTCGAGCTCAGGTATCAGTGCCAAAGCAACGAATGAATTTAGAAGCATGAAGTGAACCACCGCTTGATTGAGCCACATCAAGAATTGTAAGAGTTTGATAAAATAGCGCGGGACATGCTTTAAATGTCCCATCTGCATGCCAGACTGTGTTGCTATCCAAAGTTTCTAAGTTTTCGTCGGTGGCAAATAATATCTTTCAGTCTTTGTCATCCAAACCCAAGTCAAAAAGTAGGAAACTATTTCGCTAAGGGTCTTGATCAACTCCAAAGGCACGATAATGGGGGGGGGAATCAGTTTCTCGTTGTCGCTGAACAGTTCTGGCGAGTGACTTGTACTTAGATAAGCTAACAACCGTTTCGAGGCTAAAATCCTCAGCGTTTTTCACGTAAGCGATCCTCCGAGGCTCCAATGTTGGTTTTCCTACCGTTTGACAGCACGTTTTGCCCTGAAATTTCACAGTTTTATAACAGGCCATGAAAATTTTTTGAACCCCTCCCCCAAAAAACAAATACCCCCAGTCTTTGAAAAATTAGCCTGTTTGAGTGGCAATTTCTTCCACTGTGTGTGGCAGTTGCACACCACAAAAACGCAGGCCTTGCAGTCGTCATGCTTATTTAACGTTTTAAAACAAACTAAACACTGAAAAACTTTAATTTTGAAGTCTTAAGCTCGCGCACGTTTCAAAACTTTTGAACATTTCACTCAATTTTTTCTACTTCTTCCTCGCATAAAATATTTTCGTGACCAGGCTCTCCAGATGTGCTGACTAGTTCATCTGCGATGGTGGTGGCAACAGAGAAGCTTTGCACGGTCTCCAGATTCACACATCGCCAGCTGGATTTAGCAATTTGTTTGTTGTGGCGGTTTAGATTGAAAGTTTCTCCATCGTGGACAACTTGCTGTTTTCCTCGCTTGCTCATGACAAAGTTTATAGGCAAATTGGGACCAGTAAATGTATTGATTCGCAAGAAGAAGTTAAAACGGTTTAAGCGAATGAATCGAAACAAAGGTGTTTCATATGCTACTAATGTTTAATCACTTTTATCTTTACTGTTAAAGTTAATTCATTTTAATTCGGTATTCAATAGAAAACTGGCGCTAAATTGAAAATTTTGAGCACTCGTTGAAATTTAATCCCCCAGCAACCACCGCAAAACATTTTGCTCATTCGCATTGGTTTTTAATTCCTCCAATTAGAAATTATTCGTACTGCTAATTTTCGCTTGCTACGAATTGACGCTTGGTGCGAATTGTTGCCTTTTAAAACATTAGTTGAAAATTTCGAAATGTCACCTCACAAAATATTAGTTGAAAGTTTTTTTCTGTTAACACTAAGCAAATTTAATCTCATTAAGGTCAGTTTTACTGGAAAAAAGTTTGAGGACAGAAAGAAAAATCCAAGTCTGGCCAGTATGACCCTTGAGCAATAGAAGGAACATGGTTGCAGGTTTTAGAACTTTTCACACAGACCAGATCTGAAGCTTCAAGTTTATTTCTATCTACTAGACAACATATGGCCTATTGACTATAAAATTAAAACCGCAATTTTGCAACCATTTTTGCAAGTTTAGAGAACTAATTTTGCGCTTCAACGGTTTTTTCGAAATCATTTTGGAGCTATTTTCATTTAAATAGATAGTTTTAATTTCTTGAGTTTTCACTGTGCGTACGTTTCAAATTTAGGATCTACTTAACAATCTCCACGGGAAATATTATCGCATACCAAAAGATTCATAATTTCATTATTACATTAAGGGTTTCTGCTGTAACCAAGAGTAAAATTAAGGGAATTTTTCATCATAGTAAATTTTCAATTCAACCTTAGAGCTTTTGAAACATTGCTGATTGTTCGTTGAAACATCGTTGATTTTTTGCTGATTCATCGCTGAGATTGATCAGCAAAAAATAGTTCTTTCCAGCGCTGATTCATTGCTGAGCAAAAAAATATTGTGTAGCTTCTCTAGGTATCGATGACCATTTATTAATCAGCGATGATATATGTAACAAAACTGAATCATTTAAGAGATTAATTTATTGAACTAAAACATGTTTCATTTTTTACCAGGTCATTACACTTAAAACTTCTCTCAATTATAAAATGCAGTGAAAAATATGCTGATTTTAATGATCTAAAAATTACTTTCATTTTCTTTTTCTAATCGTATATTTTCATTTTAGCTACATTGTATAAGTTCTACTTCATCATATTTGCACGGCTTGGTTTTAAGAGCTGACAATAAATTGAATTCAACAGTAATCGGCGTTTATCATAGTTTTTTTGATTTTCAGTACCAACAGCGCCAAGTAAGTAACATATGTTTAGTTTTTGAAATAGTGCTTTTCATAATTTGAATGTACTTCAAAAATGTAGCATTTTGCTCAAAATCAAATCAATGGTTAGTATGATTTTCACGGATAAATGAATAAATTTTTGTGGGTTAGATTTGATTTTGAGATTTTTTTGCAGAAGATTAATGTTCTAAATAAACAACAATGACATCTAACGCGTAAGTAAATTTTATTTTCAAGGTCAACCTCTTCGCTACGAAGTATAGATTTTAACCAATTTATCGCACAACGTCTTAATTTTTGAAATAATTCTGACCCTCTAGCTGAAACTTATTCGAATTAGTTCTTTGAAGGTTCGCGTTTGCCTTTTTGTCGGCATTCAAAATTAGTTATCATGAAAAAAAAAACGTTTCAAAAACTAACGAACGATTTCAACCGGATTGAATAATGAAAAGATGAAATTAAATTACTTTCCATTGCAGGACGAGAAGGTTGCAAAAAGTTCGGACAGACAGAAATAATTAAAAAGAGCAATCTGCCAATTTGGAGCAATTTTTGCATGCAGATTTTATTTTTTAGGTGACATTGAGACATATAGAGAGTTGCAAAAAGTTCGGACAGACAGAATTAATTAAAAAGAGCAACTGTCTAGACATCAACCGAAATTAAAACTGAAATAAACATAACGTCGAAAGTTCATAACGCAGAGTTTTGCTCGAAAATTATAACCACGGCGGACAATTGCATCCGAAGCGTCGAACAGTAAACCTTGAAACAGGAAAATTACTGCTCAGGGTGGCTATCGTTTTTCTGCGATTAGTTTCCAAATTTTAAATGATTTGATCATCTTCACTGCCGTTTGTTTTTTTTTTGTGCGGCCTAATCTGTTTTTTTTTCGGTGTTTTATTTTTTAACTAACTTTCCTAACTGTTTTATAGTAAAATCTGGATGTTCATTGCAGTATTTAAAAAATAGGCCAGCATAACCTTCGGATATCCGAAGATCTCGCATCTTAAATTTGGCCTGACAAAAAATTCAAGGTTGTTCGGCTTCAGATTTTGCATGCAAAAAAACGTCAAAAAGCACTGATTGCTCATTTTAATTAATTCTGTCTGTCCGAACTTTTTGCTACTAATTATACTTTCTGTCTGAAAAATTAGCTTTTACATGCAAAAAATGTCTGAAAAAGGTCATTTGCTCTTTTTAATCATTTTTGTCTGTTTCTGTATTGCAAAAACCTTGTTTTCTAGTTAAATTTATTCTATTGAAAGCCATGTTTTATCTGCTGCTTTTTCGCTTAACACGGCGAAAACCAGCAAAAAGCTAAAGAAAATTCCTAATTGTATTTTCCTCTGTTCCCATATTTTTGTTGAAATAGAAGTTAGTCGCTGATTAGGTATCTAAGCTTTGCGTATTCTTCCCTCTTAGAGAGAATCAACAAATTGCAAAAAATCTGAAAAAAAGTTTTCGTTTTTTTTTCAATGATGACTGTAGTCAATTTTTTTCGATTTTTAAAATTAGTTTCGTTAGAGTAGACAAAAAATCTGTGTTTTTGTTTCAGACCTCTCATCGTCACTTCATACTCACACGATAAATTAACCCAATAATTGTTCATACCTTCAGATAATTGTGGTTCTTAGTCGAACTTAAACTCATCGAACATCAGTGTTAATCTTGTTCCAAATTGTTGAACTTTTCTGAATTTCGACTTGAACTGATTTATATCCAATTTAATTAAGTAAAACTCAGTATAAATTGTGACGTCATTTACTATTACTCATCATGGGTGCTTCGGAGTGGAAACATGGCCTGTTGTCGTGGCATTCGTGTGTAGATGACTTCCGTCTCTGTCTCATAGCATACCTGCTCCCCCACCACGCTTGGGGGGTGGCCACAGAAAAGGTACAGTATAATCAGTAACAAAAATTGGAACCGACCGAAATAAATAAAACGAGCAATCTGCCCGTTTTGAGCAACTTTTCATGCAAATTTGAGTTTTTAGGTGACCTTGAGTCATAACTTCTGTCTGTAAAATAAGCTTTAGCGTGCAAATGTATTCTGAAATAAGTCATTTGCTCTTTTTAATCAACTCTGTCTGATCCAACTTTCTGCAATTCTCTCTAGAGCAGTGCATTTGAAGTGGGCACTAAGTGGGGGGGGGGGGGTTATACGGTTCTGTTGGATACGATTGATTGTTTGATCAGTGAATTCATATGACCTTGACGAATTACGAATTAATTTGTTGAACAGATGATAACAATTGATCTGATATCAAAGCTAAACTGATTATTTTAGTAGGCTACTTGTTAACGAATTTCCAATCGTGTTTATGAGTTCAATTCACATATTTGTTATTTTATCGACATTTTTCAAACTAACAAAAGCGATTTAAGAAAATTTAAAATCCAGTTTAAAATCTCTATAAAATTGATTTAAAGTCAAATGTTGAGAATCGAAATAATTGAGTTTTTCGTACAATTTCTTACCTTTTTTGCAATAGAATTGGATCCATATTTAAGTTTGGTCGTTTCTTGAAAAATATTGATAAAATTTTAACATTTTCAATAAAAGCAAACTCTTATTAATTAATTTTGAGCGTTTTCACTGGCTTGTATTGGTTAGAAAATAAGGAAATCAGGTCTACTTCGCAAACTTCACGGTTGAGAGACAATTTGTTACTGGAGACTATTCGTAACAGGCGATAGTTTGTGATTTTCTAAAAGACTAAATGTGTAACAAGCGACTATTTGCATCGAGCGACAATTCAAATCAATGTTTTGTTTGATACTGAACAATTTTAAAAAACTAATGAAAGCTTAATCACAGAAAAGTAAATACAGAAATCAGAAATCAAATATTTCAAGTGTCTCAGACGCTCAGACAACCTTAACTGCTTTTTCTCGTATTTTGCTGTCTTTGATGCCCTCTCTCTAGATGTTATTTTCACGAGCTTATTCTCAGCCAAGCTGCGTTCTTGCCGAATAAAGTCAATGAAGTTGTGGATTGTTGGGTATGCGCAGCCAATTTTCATCTTTGAAGTACGATGCAAGCCTTCAACTGATTTATTCTTCTTTTGCTGTTGATCTCGCGCGTACTCAAACTGATTCCGGGGTCTAGGGTAAGGAAGCAGATTGAGGTTTTGTGCGAGACATTAGACCAATCAGTGTTTTTCCAAAGTTTTCAACATATCAAACAATTGGAGAATTTCTGCCAAATTTGCACTTGAACCCAAGCTCCAGATCACACTGTAGAATTAATGCGTTTGAAGTCGCCGAGTCACGTCGGATCTATAGAGGGGAGCTATGCCGAATTCCTAAATTTTCCTCCAATTAGCTTACGCAAAGCGGAGGAGCGGTTTTTGCGAATAACACGTGGGAAGGCTGAATGAAAGGCAGTAATCGACGCTTTTTTGAAAATGAACGGAATTTCGGCGGGCTCCGCTCAGGGGTTTAAATGTTTCAGCTCTTCAAAAGCTCGCAAGTTTTCGTTTTCAGTTTTCGTGTTATAAAAATTATCACTGGAAATGTCTGCTCATTTACTACAGCGTGTTCTGATAAAAAAAACGTGGGGCCTTGTTTGAGAGTTCCATCCTCATGCCAGGTTGTGTTGCTCTCTAACACATCTAATTTTTATTCCGTAGAAAAAATTAACATACATTCAAAGCTATCAAGCCCAGGGTCTTTGGTGGGACAATTGTCCTCCTGACTGAGAGAGTGAATTGGTAGAGGTATTGCAATGTTTTTAAGAGTTGCTGGCGCTGAGTCGATGAATCTTTGCCGCTGATCCGTTCGGGAGGTTGATTGTTGTTTTTGCAAATTTCTAACTGTCTTTTTTGGTACGTACCCAGCAAGCTGCATAGCTGTTCTCGGAGGTTTTAAAACGGACTAGGTTTTTTCTTTGTTACCACTTTTAACTCCAAAACAATTGGTTTTTGACATTCGGGTTAAGCTTCGAATTTCTAATCCCAGATATGGGCACACTTAGGAAAAAATGAAAAAACTTACGAAAACTGAACATAAACCCTAAATCATTATCATTGCGGTTCATGACACGTGCAAAAATCAAAAGCTTATGTGTTGACTTTCGGCTCATGTGGAACGTTTTTGTGGTCATGTTTGTTCTTTTCACTAACAATTGTGGCATATAAAAATGAAATGGAAGATTTGTGGGGATGTTTAGAAGATCGCCATGCTGTTTGACTAGTGGCTTAGCTGTGTCGAGCTTGGTAAAATTTTTCACCATTCAGAACAAATTTCGGCTTGCCGCCTTCGCTGGTTGTTTATAATAGAGGCACTGTTGGAGGAGTTTATTTGGATCAAAAAGATAAATGAACGGTTGAATTTCAAAAGAACTGAAAAAAATGACACTCAATGTAAAAAGTCTAGACTTGTAGTGCTAATAATTTTGAATTACTGTTTTATTGAAAACTAAAGTTAAATCAATTCAAAACGTTGATACCAAGAGTTAACTAAGTGTTAAATTTTAAACCCCAGGTTGTCTTTTGATGCAATTATTGAATGGATTACAAAATTTAAGTCCCCAACTAAAATTGCAATTGACAATTAAACAGCAGTAACAATGCATATCAGCAATTATGTGTTACTAATCGTCGCTTGTTACGAATTGTCGCATTTTAAAAAGTTACGAATTGTCGTTTGTTACTAATCGTCGTCTGTTGCGAGTAATCGCTTGTTATGAAAAGTCGTTTTGCTAGTTTTTACGGTATTATTGAAAAACTTATTTACGGTATTATTGCCAAAAATTTTGCGCTTTTAGGAAGACTCATATTTTGATCAATTCATTTTGGTTCAAAAATATGACCTAATTTTCACACTTTTGAATTCATGGCCCATAATTTTACAGAAGTTTTCATTTTTATGAATTTGAGATAATTAGTTAATTTTGTGCCTTATTTTCCTTCGCTACTGATATTGTATTTAATTACGTGTTTATAGAGTTTAATCATAAGATGACGCTTTGGGTTGAAAAAATTTCCGACATAAGTTTTTCTCTGCACAAAATGCCCAGTGACAAATGACCCGTTTCATATCTCCGCTAAAATAGATGTTTCAGACTCAAAAAATGATATGCTGGGTTGTCTTGTGAAATAGGTTTTTAATAATTTTCAGTAATATTTGGATGGATTTAATTTATTTTCAGGGGTGGATGCGTTTTTGTAACTCCCATAAACCATCCAAACTATTTTAAAAAGATGTTTTAGGCTCAAAAGCGATCTTTCATTTTCAGAGTAATTTAATTTTAATCGATTTATAAGTCGTTTCAGTTACTAAGTTGCAACTATTAATCGATTTGAATTGACCGAAAATCGATTTAGTTTGAGCTAAGTTTGATCCTTACATTTTTGCAGACAAAATTTAACTTTCAAGGTGGGCTGATAATTGGAACTGGTTGAGCGTTTCGTTTGAAATTGGCTTAAGGCTCGAATCTAATTAGAATTCCCCATACCCCCCCTCCCCTTGAATAATCTCCTCCATTGAAAACAACTCATGATGAAAAATATTTTGAAAAACAATGCGCAGTTCAAAATTCTTGTAATTCAACTGTTTAAACTTGATTTTGAGTTATGAATGGTAGTAGCTTTAATCAGCCGAAGTAAAAAGTAAACTTTTTTCTACGTGATGTTTCACATGTTTATAAGTGAAAAGTCATTTAATTTTCATTATAGAAAATTCAAAAGGGCGATAGTATTAAGAATTTTGCTAGTTATAATATGAAGAAAAAAAAGATTATCTTTCAGCTGGCGGCGGAGAATGGGGACTCGTACCGGTGTCTGAGCATCAGTCTGATCCCCTTCGTGGGGGTATGCATGTTGCCGTGCTGGAGGAAGTACGTGCGGGAGAAGACGGAGGTGGATGGCAACTTCTGCTTCGACATCCTAGCCGCCCTCTGCTGTCCCTGCTGCACTATCCTACAGGTCATACCAGGGAATATGTGCTATTTTCCCTCCCCATCCCCTCCCCTCCCACCTCTCAATCAATTTGATTGTGTAACGAGGGGTTTTAAATATGAAGACTAAATAGCTCTGTTTGTCATGGCCCAATTAGTCCGCATGCTAATTATTTTAGTTGCAGTTGAACAATCTGAACAAAAAATTATCGGTTAAAGTTTGCAGGTGTGGGATTCGAACCCCTGCAGGCAGACACAAAGGGTCTTTTATGTGCTTTGAGTGAGTGGGAGAGAGCGAAAGAGTGTTCCAAAAATCATCTTAGTTACACTTTAAAAAATGTCGACAAGTTTTCGGCAAAAATTGGAAATTCGTAGCAAGGTGCAAAACTCGCATGTGCTTAACCGTTGAATCGGTTAGTATACTATGGGTGGATAATCTTCGGGGCGATCGGGGGAGGGGGAGGCTCTGGGGTTAGAAAATATTCAGAAGTTTCAACGAAATCCGAGCCCATTTCTTCGCCATAGACAAATTCTGTCGCAAAAGGTCAAAAATGCTGTTTTTGGTCAGTTTTGGAAGGTTTTGACCAACAAATCACGTTTTTTTTGGCGCGCGTTTTCCCCTCAAGTTTGCCGTGCACTCTAGGTTTTATCCCTCGACAGATTTTGTTGCAAAAAAAATAATTGACTCATGCGACTTATTCGAAAATACTCTCGCCAATAGCCGCCAGGCAAATGGGACAAAATTGGCTGGTAAGTTAAATTAAAACCAAATATGTCATTTTTTTGTCGGTAGAACTCTGTATCGAAATTTTCTCGCACCCTTTAAATGTATTGTAAATTGGCGCCGAAGACCACTTTAAAAAGTTTTTGGTTTAATGGATCGGAAAAGGATGTTTTAAAACAGTACGAGCGGTTCAGTTCTTTTCGTAAAAATGCTTTTGTGCTTCCACTATTACATGTTTCTTGAGCTTCTCCATCACTTTTCCGGGCTGTGTAATTTTGCGTTTCTTTCAAACAATGGGCACGAGTTATTGTTGGGATGTAAAGCCAACGATATTTCGCTTGAGAGGAAATGTTTTTTAGTAAGTTTCTTATCAATTTCTTCGAGTTGGTTATTTGAACATTCGGATCAATTGAGCAATCTCCCCCCCGTAATGACCAATTGAGCTATCTCCCCCCCCCCCCAGCAACAACGAATAAACTCTTCAGAAAGACGTCAGCAAACGGAAGTAGATGGATGTTTTGTTTATAGCATGCAATCATTTGACCGACTGAAGTTTTTTTATATGAGTATCCAGAAAAATTATGAAAAAAGTTTTTTTTTTGCAAAGTTTTGTATAGGCGACCATAGCCTCATCGAGGAAAGCGATTTACCAGGGTTGGTGCTCTAGCCTTGTATCTGAATAGCAAAAACGGTTCTCCGCAGCACCTTAATAATGTACGCAAAAGCTTTTTGTCATTTTAAGAAAGAAAAAAGTCGCTTTTTATGCCTGATTTATTGATCCTTTTTTCTATTTGAATGAAACTTTTGAGCTTTGATATTGTAAATTTTGGCTTTCCACAGTCGTTGGAAAATATGGTTTATGATTTCATGTCATTCAAACTATTTTCAAGTGGTTATAAACATGTCTCAAGTACCTATTGAGCTATCTCCCCCCACGCGAGAATGGGTGGGAGATTGCTCAATTGATCCGAACATCCATCTATGCGCATCAGAACAGATGACAAAAATAACACAAATGAATTTTTCTGACAAAAAATACAGATTAAATGTACGTGTTAGAACCAGTTTTGAAATTTTTTCATCTCAATATTCCCAAATGGCTCCGTAATTTAGTATTATTCAGTGTGACTCTTTGAGTTAAGATGGGTTCGAATTTCTGGGCTAAACCACCGATTTCCAGCCTAATGTTTGTCTGATTCTTACTGTTTAGGCTAGTTACCAGGCGGACGTGACAGGCGAGTTCGAATGTTCTAGAACAATTGAGTTGATGATAAAAGCATTCGAAGGATTCAATCCTCGAGAGGAGCTGGACAAGACGAAATCGGACATAAAGACCGAAAGAAGTGCCTTAACTGATGAAATCACCAGAGAATAGGGAAAAAGAAAACACGGAAATTCTAAATTGTTTAAAATTTCCTACCGAAGTAAAAAAAATCGAAACCAATTTTAGCTCAAAGCTTATGACGGTATATAATTTCACATATATAGCTTTTTGTTGAAATTAAAAATTCTGCAGCGAATGATTGAAATAGAAAAACTAAAGTTTTCTGATCAATTCATATAAGATTTAGATTTCAAAATTTTGGATTACATAAATGAAAGTACTATTTACTACAAATACTAACAAATAAACTCTCATCGCAAATAATTTTCAGAAAAAATCTGTTGAAATCGTTTTCAGTGCATTGTATCAGGTGTTTTTCAAAATCTAAAAAATATTCAAATCAAATTTTTTTTATAAAAACCAAATATATCCGAATATATCATTGATTTCAAGCAGCAACACAACGTACCGGCTCAGTTTAGGATTGTCGGAGTAGAACACTATCTAACACACAAAAAAAAACATTTTCAGCTTTAATTTTCAACACAAGTTCTCGAAATGACCAGAAGACTACTATAAAAAAACTGTTTGTGTCATATCATATGTACATTTAGAAATTGGAATCCAACTTCGGATGCAACAAACGCTTCGATTTTTTTTCTAATTCTGTCTTTTCTACTGCAAATTTTATGCATAATTGAGTTAAAGCTTAATGTTCCAATTTTTGAAGAAAAAGACAAAATTTTAGTGCTTGTCTTGAGTTTTTTCAGATGAATTTCGACTTTTGAACCAGCCGTTTTTTAATTTTGTGTTTTTTACTTGTGATCCTTGTTAAAAAGGTATCGGGATCTGAAAATTGTCAATGTGACCAATTTGCGACAATTAACGAGCGATATACAATTTGCATGTTAGCGGTGTTATAAATCGCATTATAAGCGGCTGAGTAACCTGCCGAACTTTAAAATGAGAAGGCCAAACTGGTTTCGATTACGTTAAAAAACGTTTGAGAAATCAATTTGTACTTAATATAGCTTGTGGTGAAAAGTTTTCTCAAACTTTTTTCAGTTTTCTACACATTTAGTGGAAAATTATAATCCTAGACTTTTTCATAGAAGGGCAGTCAACACAATCAGGGTTTTAGCAAGATACTATATTTGTTTAAAGTAATTGTTCAAAATTGTTCTAGGCTACAAAAGTTGACTGAATACAATAAAATGTGGCGGATTCCCTATTTGTTTATGGACAGAATCAAAATTCAAGTGTGAACAATTGGCTCTAACAAATCTAGTTTGACCAAGTAGCTAGCCTTAATTTAATTCTGAACAGTTTTGTCGTGCAAGATAAATTGCCACGCATATAAATTGGTGTTATACTTTCAGTAATATGGATAAAGTAATCAAACTGCGTAATAATTAGTCCAGAGCATGGCCAAACTGGCAATTTTCAAACTCACAAATTTTGCAAAAATTGATCGGAGGCAAGATATCTTTTCAAATTTGAGAGTCAATATCATTGTTAAAAATAATTATTTTCTATTGCCGAAAATTGATTGAATAAAAACCACCCAAGCATAAATATTCAAAAGTTTGCTTCGAAAGTCGGAACAACAACAGCTTGTTAACATGAATTTGTTTTTCAAATGAGTGTGTGTATTTTGAGTTTTCACCTGTGGTTCATAAATTGATGAGCAACAGCTTATATTGCGGAACAAAAAACGCTGGAAATTTTTTTTCAATTGAGAGTGCTTATTTTTTAGTTTTTCACTTGTGTTGCATACCAGGCAAGCAACAGCTTATTTTGCATCTCGAAACCTGTTTAAATCTCGACACTGCCTGTCTTGATTTACTCACAAAATTTCTCGATGCAATATATAGCTGGTGTTTATATCTGCTACAAAAATGAACTGCAATAAAATTCTAGAATTGATGACTTCAACATTTTTCTCAAAATTTATTTGGCTTTTGACCATGCCCGACAAACAGCAATCATTATGTTGCGTAGTGCTGTTATCTCTAGCGATTTACGGATTTTTTTGGTCGCGACAGATCAACTTCAGTTATTTCAGAATTACCAATTCATCCACGAAGTTTTTTTCAAAAGTTTTCTTTTTTGATGAAACTGAATCAGCAGATCTTCAACGTTATGTCGAAAGAAACTTTTCGGATCTTTGCTTTTCGATATTTGATGGGAAAATAAATGACTCGGCAGCTAAACACTTATCAAAGGCAACGCATAAATTTACATTCAACTATACAAGAACTCTTTCGAGCAATTCCAGCTTTTGTGATGTTTATCTGAGAAATGAGAAAAGTGTGCCTTTGGTGACAGAACCGAAAAATGACGGCGACTTTCCTTTGGCCTTTGGAATCATGATTTACAACAATTTTGAACAAGTTGATCAATTGTTTCGGATTATTTATAGGCCTCAAAACTACTACTGTTTTCATATAGACGATTCATCGCCTAAGGAGTTCAAAGCTCAGGTAATTCTCACCTTAATGCATTCTCTAAAAAAAGAGTCAGAGTTTGTTGATTCAATTTTAGGCCTTCAGAATTCGCTTTCCTCCAATTGAAGACATAATTTTATATCAAGTGTTTCTCTTGGTTTCTTTTCATTACAGATTAGTAGATCGAATAGTGATTAGCCCAGTCAAAACAAATTTTATTCAAATTTCTCTTGTATTATGTTTTTGTAATCAATTTTTAAAGTTTTTGTCAAAAACTGTCTTTCTTTAGTATTGTTTAAGGGCGTGGAGGCGGGGGGGGGGGTGAGGGACTCGAGGGTTTTTGTCGGTTCCTTAGGATTTTGAGCTCCTAAAAATTAAGAGGTTTCCTTTGGTGCTGGCATCTCACGACTCCGACATTCCGTCATTTTGACAGACGCGCCGTAAAAATGTTTCCAAAAGGAATTTTAGTCTTACTCATCTAGCAGATAAGATAATATTATCAAGCGAATTTCATTTGGATATTATTTATCATTCTACAGTGTTGATTAAAATTATCCGGACAAAACGATCACCAATAGAAATTTCCAACGCATTTTGGTCAAATTGGGTTAAGATTAGACAAAAATTGAAGGAAAAAAGAATTTCAAAGGTTGCTTAAAATGATGCAATTTTTTCTCCTAAATCCTCAACCACATTTTTACCCCAAAAATCGGTCGTTTTGGCTTTTTGTAACTAATCAAGAATTACGCTGAAACTATTTTGTTGATTGATGAGAAATATACATCAAAAGCAGTCTTTTACACAGCCATGGAAGTTCTAGATGTGTTAATTCTCCAAAAAGAGAAGAAATGTAAGAGAAGAAATGTTTACTTGATAGTCAAGAAATGAGAAAGTTATTATATAAAACCCAAAATATTTAGTTAAAACAAAATTTAAACAATTTGCACAAGTATAACTTAAAACTTAAAAGACTTCTTTGTTCTAATTTTCTCATCAGGTAAAAATTAGTTTCAACGTAGTCAAAATGATCTTTTATTGAGTAAAAATTTGAATGCGAATTTCGGAGAAAAAACTGCATCATATTAAATCTGGTGAAGTTCTAAGCAACTTCTATTCTTTTCACTTGTTGTTTAATCTTAACCCAGATTGTCCGGTTAATTTAAATAAGCGCTGTACACTATTTGAATATTTAATGCTCAGGCTGGCCTACTAATTGCCAATAAATCTTCATTTACAAAAAAAAACTTACCAAAAAGGATCGTGAAATCTTTAAAAGCCTTGCAACATGCTAGTATATTACAGTCTGAGAAAACATTTCCTCAAGTTTTTCAGTAACTAAATGTCTTCAAAGTTGAAGGAAGAATGATTTTCACAAATAGTATCAAAATAGAAGACCTTTTTTCTCAGAAACTAAAAAAACGCCATATTATATTTTGTAGCGCTACTTTTTCTCTTGAATTCTTACCATATATATTCGAAAAATTGAGGTCAGGGGTGAAATTTGCATGGGCTCAAGTTACATAACAATTGAAAAGTTTCCAGTATGTTTCTTCAAAGCTTTAACTGTCTCTGAATTTCGATTAATTTTCCAAAAAAATCAGTGATACCATTAAAAAAATTGGTGAATAGGACATTTTGGAGCTAAGTCATGACATGTTAGGACTAAGGAAAGTTCCGCAAGGCTTTATTAAATTGAAACTGTTTTGGTAATTTTTTGGGTTTTTTCATAAAATCCAAAAAATTTTCCTCCAATAAGTCGAAGTCTTACAAGTTTTGTTCCCCTGCTTTTGAAGAAAATGATGATTTATTGTGTGCTGCGGTTAAATTGTTTTCTCGAGACAAATTTTAACTTTTTAACTAGCAACTTTTGCTTAGCTAACAATTTTAACTAGAGTTTTTACAGCATTTAAGAGGTATTTTGGCTCTGGGCGCATATTCAAAAAGATATTTCACGGTTATTTTGTGTTAAGGTATTCGGGATTGAATATTGCAAATTGGCCAATTTGGGACAATTAAAGCGCCAAATTTTTTGAGCTAAAAACGCGTACGCGGAGAAACAAAGCATTTTAGAGATTAATCCACGTTAAAATGAGTCAAGCTATTTGGCCTTAAGTTTTTGTTTCCAAATTATTTCAATTTGTACTTAACATAGCTTGTGGGGAGATGGTTTTGAGATATGGCAAACAAATTTAAAAATTCTGATATTATGTTATTTTTCTTAAAGCTTAAAGCTTATGTGTCAAACAGTAAGGACAGTACGCTTTTGAAAAAAGAATAATATGTGGTTGATTTAGTTCCAAATGTAAACTCAGATTTAACAGAGGAAAGAAAAAAAACATTGACCCAGAACACTCTAAGTAGTTTAGTTTTAAAAACGGTGTTGTTTTTTTTTCAAATTCAAAAACTGAAAAAGATTAAAAAACAGATTGCTTTAATACCTTGATATGATACAACCTCCATTGAAAAGAGGGACCATTCTATTTTGGCCAGAAAATATAACAAGACTGTCCGCATCAGCGTGAACCACTGAACGTTTCGACTGCCTGTTAAAATTTATGGAATAGTGCTGACTTTTTGGACTTTTTATGAAAACCGATAACTTTTCAATAAAAAGTTTTCTATTTTTTCAGTTGTTTTGCGGAAATCATCCTACATGCTATGTTAAGTACAAAATTATGTTTTCAGCACAAATTAAAGTATCAAATAAATCAAATAGCGTGCGTCAGTCCAATTTGGAACAAACTAGAAG